TACAAAAATATTTATAGCAGCTCTTTTTGTGGTGGCCAAGAATTGGAAATTGAGGGAATGCTCATCAGTTGGGGAATGGCTGAACAAGTTGTAGTATATTAATGTAATGGAATACTATTGTTCCGTAAGAAATGATGAGCAGGATACTCTCAGAAAAACCTGGAAAGACTTGCATGAACTGATGTTGAGTGAAGTAAACAGAAGCAGGAGTGCATTGTAGACAATAACAGCCACACTGTGTGATGACCAACTTTGACAGACTTAGCTCTTCTCAGCAATGCAATGATGGAAGACAATTCCAAAAGACTCATGATGGAAAATGCTATTCACATCCAGAGAAGGAATTATGGAGTCTAAATGTAGACTGAAGCATAGTATTTTTCCTTTTTTTTGTTTTTTTTCTTTCTTATGGTTTTTCCTTTTGGTTCTAACTCTTCTTCACAACATGACCAATGTGAAAAAAATATGTTTAATATAATTGTAAATATGTAGCCTATATCAAATTGCATGCCATCTTGGGGAAGGGGAAGGAAGAGGGGGAAAATTTTTAAAACTCAAAATCTTATAAAAGTGAACGTTGAAAACTAAAAATAATAAAATAACTAATAATCAAAATATTTTTATTTAATTTAATTGATTAACTTTTAATTAAGTAATTTTAGTGTTTGATTAATATTATTTAATTATTTAATCAATAATAAAAAATAATTTATTAAAAATAATTTTTTAAAAAGAATCAAAGTTTCAGGTAAAAAAGAGATGCATAATGAGTATAAGCAGGCTACAATTTCCAAAAATGACCTGTACACAAGAAGTATAACAGATATTTATCCAAGAAATATATAATAGTAAAAGATGCGTCAGTTACAAAATAAGAGTGAGAGATAACAAATACAAAATGTGCAGGCTACACTGATAAACAAAATAAGTTAAAAAGGCATGGACAAAGACATGGATGGATTGTGACTACGAGGATAGAAAGAAAATCCACATCATTATCATAACAGATCCACTCAAGTATTGGATAGATGGTTTTCTAGCCTGGAGCAGATTAGAAGCAACAAACTAGAAGGAGCAGGAAAGGAAAAGATAAACATACAACAGCAGCAAAAAGTAACACCAAAAAAATCTCTATATAAAGCAGATATCAGAATTGAAAATACACAGCACTTTGAGGGCAAACAGCAATACATTTCTCAACAGACTTTGAATAAAAAAAGCATAATTTAACTGTTATTAATAATAATGGTTCCGAATCACCAATAAAATGATAGAGCTGGAAGGGATCTTAAAGATCAGTTGATCGAATCTATTCATTTTAAGGGGGCAGCTAGGTGGCACAATGGATAGAATGCCTTTCCTGGAGTCAAAGACCCAAGTTCAAATTCCACTTCATACACTTATTAGCTATGTGACCCTGGGCAAGTCATTTTACCCTATTTGTCTCAGTTCCCTCATCTGTAAAATGAGCTGGAGAAGGAAATGGCAAACCACTCCAGTACTTTTGTAAAGAAAACCCCAAATAGGGCCACAAAAAGTCAGACATGACTGAAACAACACAACAACAAAAGGCCCAAAGAAGTTCAATAACTTGATAAAGTCTTGAGTAATCCAAAGCTTGTATCAGAACTCACAATATGAGACAACAGGGAAATATTCCCTTCCAAATGATTTTTATTCTAAATGATTAAATTTTTTCAAATACTGGTGCCAGAAAGCATGAGCCTTGGTTAGCTAGAAAATTCACTTAGCTATAATCCCCCAAAATGTAGAACCACAGAATTTCTTTTGTATCTCCTTCCTTTTTCCTCCACCATCAAGTAACCAATGACGCGTTTAGTCAACCACAGATCTTTCAAAAAACACTTACCAACTCATACGATTATCTCCTTGTACTTCAATGGATGTGTGATTTCAGCCATGCAGGTACTCTCTTAAATGGGACACATCCTCTCACCTCTAGCTTCTCATCCTCTACAATTCTTATTCGTACCTTCCCATAAATACTCCATTGAGATATGGTAGAAGCTTTTTTGTAGGTCTTTTAGTCTAGTATGGGACTTGGGTTATCCAGCTGCTATTATCTGATCTCACTATGATGAACCCACCTCCTTTCCTGACAATACATTTCCTATATTATATATTTTATTTATTCATTCATTTGAAAAGCATTTATTACACATCCATTACATGCCTGGTACCATGCTGGGCTCTGGGAATACAAGGACAAAAAAAGAAAGAATATTTGCCCTCAAAAAGCTTACATTCTATATGAAGAAAAACAATATATACACCAAAAAGCAAATTCAAAATATATACTGAGTAAATACAATGTAAATTCTGGAGGGGGTAGGACACTAGTAAACCGGAGATGAGGATAAACCTACTGTAGGAGATGACAATTAAGCTAAGCTTTGAAATAAGCTAAAAATTCTAAGAGAAAGAAATGCATTCCAGGTTTGGGGGACAACCTGTGCAAGCTGGATAAGAAGAAAAAGAAATAGGCCAGTTTGGCTAGAATTTGTGGAGAGCAATATGCAATAAGCCTGAAAAGTAGGTTATAACTAGATTATGAGCTTTAAAAGGCAGACAGGAATTTCCATTTTATCCAAAAGGCAAGGGGGAGCTATTGGAGATCCCTGAGTAACAGAGGGGAGGGAGTGTCATGGTCATATCTGTGCTTTAGTAATACAAATTTCGCAACTGAATCAAAGATAGAATGGAGTGGAGAAAGAACCAGGACGATGAAAACAATTAGGAAATAATTGCAATAGTTCAGGCAACAGATAATTAGGGCCTGAACTAGGGTGTTGGCATATGAATGGAAAAGGGCAGATGTGAGAGCACTGCCTCGCCTGTGCTGCCATGCACCTAGCCTGATTGGCCCAATTCACTCCCAAAGCACAACTCTATCAGCCCCAATAAAGGATCACGGATGTGTAAGACTTGGCAACTGAATGCACACAGGGGATGAAGGAAAGGAAAGAGTTGAGGATTTCCTCCAAGGTTGTCAACATAAGTGACTGGAAGGATGGCAGAGCATTCAAAAACAGGGAAGCTAAGAAGAGGGATGTTGAGTTTGAGATGACTAGAGGACTTCTAGTTGTAGCAGTTGGTAATTAGAGCCTGAAGCTTACTTCCTGTATGTAGCTCTTTAGAAGTATACTGCGGCCTACTCATGCTACTCTGTTGCAATCAATGGTTTTATCCAACACAAATATTAAAAATAGAAAAATCTCTAGGATTTCAATGAAAAAATCTTTCAGATAATTCCTACCACATAAAATAAGAAGCATTTTCCATCAAGTTCACTATTAAAGAGAAAATTAATTTAATCCATTATGTATTTTTAAAAGGCATTACAGAGGGATAGCTAGGGGGCACAGTGGCTAGAACACTGGCTCTGAACTCAGAAGAACCTGAGTTTGAATCCTACCTCAGATACTTACTAGCTCTGTGACTGTGGGCAAGTCACTTAACCCTGATCACCTTTAAAAAAATTCAAAGAAAAGGCATTACAGAAACCTAAAGATATCCTAGTCCTGAGTAATTTGTTAGCTAAAACAAGATGACTATATTTATAAGAGTTCGAGAAAGTCCTGAGAACTTTCTATTTGGAAAATATGCTGAAATATTTTTTTAAAAATACTTTATGAAAGTATTCTTTATAAGTATTCATAAAAGGAAGATATCATTTTTCATATCAATTTCATAAGAAAACAGAAGTTTTGAGAAATAAACTCTCAATATAGCATAAGAATTAGAATTTAAAACTTTGGACTGCTAATCTTTATATTGAGAACATTAGGTTAATTTCCCGATTTGTCCAAAAAGATGTAATTTTTTTTGGAATCACCTGAAATCTGTACTGAGTAATATTATCCTTTAACTATAACTTTTAAAAAAATGCAAATATATGCAAAGATATAATGCAAAGATGCAAAGACATGGAATATTTATTTTGTACAAAGATTTTACTATTATTCCTTCAAATGGGTTTTGCTTAGAAAGTATATTAAAACTATACCTTACCTGTTAAATATGACTTTAAAAAGATGAATAAAGTAAATCTTAATATGGTACTTGGTCCTAAAAGTTTAAGCCACAGTCAATAAAGATGCTAAAAACATTTACATTTTAAGAAAGGAAGAAACCAATATAGAAACCTTTGCTACTAAGGTAAAGACATAATAAACAAAATTTTATGTATGTTATTCAAATGTTTACTTTCATATTTTAAAATATAAAAATTTTAAATTCCAAATGAAAATTTTAAAGCAGCAAACACTTTCGTAGAATTGATTTATATTCATTATAAAAGTGGCTAATATCTTGTCATGTGTTCATCTCAACAAGGAAGATATGAAGTTTTAAATGTTATTGGAAAATAAATGCTTCTTTCACCTATCAAATGTAATTTTTCAGTTTTTTTGAAGTGTCAGGTGTTAGTAAATGATCCTGGACTCTTCAAGGCTATACCAATAAAGTATAAGCTATGTCAGGTCCTGAAAAGCAGGAAAGACTTCAAGTAATCAGCCCCATACTGGACAACATATCTGTTGTCCAAGGGCCAACCCTAGGTAAGTCTGGACAGACTCAGCAACAAATTGACTTCAGAATGATGCATTTTCCAACCAAAGCAACTCTTATACACAATGTGGTATAGGACTTGCAACCTGTATTTGTGGTTGGGAATACCCCCACCAATGAAATCATGGATCCATGAAGAAAATGTAAAATTTACTTTAGAAAGGTAGGCTCACCACTGGGCATCTAAATAAATGCTTGATTCATTTAAATGATTTGTTTAATGTACTTTTGAAACCGTTGGAAATCTAAAACATGATCTGATAGAAGTAAGGTAGACTATGGTCAACTTTTTAAAGTAAATATGAACTCTGGGATAAACTGATTAAAAACATTCATAACTGAAAGATCCTTTGTCAACAATGTATTAATTTTATCAATTAATATAAACTCTCAAATAATAATATCCTTACCTATGAATACAGAACAGACACTGTCACAAATGGTTAAGAAACTCTGGGACATGTTTATTTGCATCCAAGAAGTTCATCATTATTGGAAGCCTGGAAAAAAACATAAAAAAGTATAATCACAAGCCTCCTCAAAACTATTCTGTGAAAAAATTTGTATACTTCATATTAGGCATTGTTTAAAATACAGCTTTCAAAAATTTTCTATGCATAGATTTCTCTAATTGATCTAGAAGCATTTATAATAAAAATATACCTAATGTCAGGAGCACAGAAAAACAGCATACTCAGGTTTCTCTGAAACTAATCTCTTCATTTCCTACAGCACAACCACAGCACATTTCTTACAGAGATAGTGAAGTGATGCACTGGATCTAGAGTAAGGAAGACCCAAGTTCAAATCCAGCATTAGACACTCATTCACAGTATGACCCTAGAAAAGTTACTTACCCTTCAACTGCCTCAGTTTGTTTACTTGTAAAATGGGAAAAACACCTACCTCTCAATATTGTTGTGAAGATCAAAGAAGATAATAAATGTCTTTACATTTATTTACACTTTGGCACAGTGACTGGCATATAGTAGGTACAAATGCTTGTTTCCATGCTTTCTTCCACAACAATATTCTAGCACATTCACATACCATAAGTTATTCAGCCATTCCACAACTGAAGGGCACCCCTCAATTCCCAATTCCTTGTCACACCAAAAATAGCTACCATATACTGTTATACATTCTTAAGAGTTTACTTTGATAAGGACTAATCCCTCCCTTCTCCCTTTTTCTTCCTGTTTCCATGTTGCATGAAATGTATTTCTGCATCCAACTGTGTGCATTCTTCCCTCAAGTGCTGCCTACTTCCCCACCCTTTCCTTTTTGTATAGACTTCTACTTGTGCACCTTAGTTATGAAATAAACTTTCCAAGTATTCTTCTCCCTTCCCCTCACTATTCCCTTCACTATTACTCTTCCCCTCCCTTTTTATTCTTCTAAAATCATCAAAATATAATAGAACCATGCTCGAGCTCTCTTGTCTAATTAGACTCCCTCTATGACCCCTGATGACAGAGTTCTGCAAAGATATATGTATCATCTCTCCATATTAGAATGTTTATCCTTGTTTTGCTTCTGTGTAATTGTTCACTTGACTTCCGTGTTTACCTTTCAAAGCTTCTATGCAGCTCTGGTCTTTTCATCAGGAATTCTTGGAAGACCTCTATTTCATTAAAGATCCATTTCTTCCCTTGTAGGATTATGCTCAGTTCTGCTGGGTTAAGTTAATCATAACCTTCTGGAATGCTGTATTCCAAGCTCTCTGCTCCTTTGTAGTGGTGGCTGTTAAACCATCTATGATTCTAACTACTTTGACCTACAAATTCCAGATTTTGGCTACAATGTTCCTGAGTTTTCATTTGGGAGATTTTCTCAGGAGGTAACCAAGAGATTCTTTCTATTTTCATGCTGCCCTTTAGTTCAAAGAGATATGAACAGATTTCTTTTATGACTTATCAAAAGATGATGTGTAGGTCCTTTTTTGGTCCTGGCTTTCTAGTAATTTTTAAATCATCTCTAGTTTCCAAATCAGTTTTTTTTTTTGTTATGATCACCTTTTATTTTCTTTCATTATTTTTCAGTCTTTTGACTTTGTTCCGGTATTTCTTGCTGACTCATGGAATCAGTGCCTTCTGTTTGGTCCACTCTAATTTTCAGAGAGTATGTTAGTTGAGTAAGGCTTTGTACATTTTGTTCTAAACTGTTAATTCTCTTTCCAATTCTTTCTTCCATAGCTCTCATGCAGCCATTTTTTTCTTCTAGCATTCTCATTTCATTTATAAAAATGTTTTTAACTCTTACTTCATCTCTTCTGGAAATTCCAGTTGAACCCAAGCTATGTTTTACTTTGAGGCTCTGCTTGTAGATATTTCAGAGTCACTTTCTTCTTCTGGCAAGGTGTCTTGAGCATCCTCATGACTATAATAGCTTCTTACTGGGGGATTTTTTTTGTTTGTTTGATCATTCTTCCAGCCCAATTCTTGACTTTAAACTTTATGCTGCGGCCAGAATCTGTGCATTTCTTAAGGGTATGTCCAAGGTGGAGCTGTTCATCTTGGGTCTTTCCGCTATTTTCTGGGACACTGAGTGTTGTGTTATTTCAGGATCTTAGGGCCACCTCACGTTGGAGAACTGCAAGCTTTAGTCTGATCCACGGTGAAGTCTGATTGCTACCCCCCTTTTTTTTTTTTTTGACCTTTGCATGTTCCTGAGCTGGGTTTTGGTCTGAGCAACATGCCTTTGGGTTTACCCTTGGCTGGAGCTCCAGTAGGCTGCTGTTGGACTTAGCCACTATAAGCCTGCTAGAAAGATCTGTAGGCTTATGGAAACAGAATTGCAAACTCATCTTTGTTCTATGACTTGTTCCCTGATTATTACCCTGCAGATTTTAGATTGGGATGAGGCTGGAATTGAGACCCCTACCACTTCTAAGGTCAAGCCACACAGCTACTGCTAGCTTTTGAACTTGCTTTCTCAGTACGCAGATTAAGGTTCACGACAGTCTTCTACCCTGCAACACTATCCCTAGTTCTAGGCCTCCCCTCAATGTGCCCTGGATCTGTGACCCAAAACTGGCTAGAACCAGAAATGCCAGTTGGTACCAATTCCTATATCCTGCACAAGTCTAGGCCCTTCTGTGTCAAATCCAGGACTTCTGGTACATAACCTTTCCTTGCAACTGGCCATTCCTGGATAGACTCCTTCCCCAATCTCCACAGAACTGTTTCCCTTTGATGACCTGGGTTGAAAAAATGACTCACTGTGATTTTTTCTTGGGTTTCCAAATTAGGACTTGGTCTGGTACATTTTTTAGATCCATGTGGTAGAGCTGTAGAATAGAACTCAGCTGTACTTCCTGCTACTCAGTCAACTTGGCTGGCTCTGCCCTAATACCTTTCTTTGATCTTATCATCATCCATAAGAGATCTACTTTTGCATTCAACAAATTCTGAAATTTCTTTATCTGATGATAATTTTTTATTATTCAATTTTTTCTGTCTTATGATCCCTAACACTTTTTCATTTTAACTATGACCTCCATTCCCTCTGCCTCTCTTGTTATTTCTCAAGCTATCATTCCTCCACTGGCTATACTTTCCTCCCTTCTCTATCTTAACTTCCTGGTAAACCAACTCGACTTTATTATCTACTCTCAAATTCCTTTCCTCCTTGTCCTATTGCTAATAATATTCACCAACCACACTCCTTAATTATTGCCACCACCTGCCTCCTTTAGTCCCATTCAGATGGTGCAGAATCCAGCTGAATGAAATAACAAAGCCATGCTGACTGGGTCCACTAAAATGTATATTTAATCTCAACTGGACCTCCAGTGCAACAAGACAATTTTACTCCTCACTAACTGATTTGCTATCCCAATCTCCACAATGGGTATTTCAAACCCTTTCTTCTCCACTTAAGCCTCCTACAGTATCTCCATATGCCTACTCTCTCATTCAAATAAGATTTTTGTAAAAATAATCAATGTCCACATTAAAGGCATCTTTTGGTGATTCTAGTTGTGAACTTTTAATCAACAAGCATTTAAGTGCCTACTATATACCAGACACTAGTTGCACAGGATGGATAGGCATAAATAGAATGAGATTTCTAACACAGGAAGGAATGCCCACATTGATGAGAACACAGATCCATTTAAGCAATGACTAATGTGAAGAATTCAGAGCAACATAAAGTGATGCTGAATGAATAAAGTAGAACCAAGAGAACAATATACTCAGTGGCTACAATAATATAAATGATAATATAACGAATTGTAATGAACAAACTCAGCCCTGGATCACTGGTAACGAAACTCTATCTCCTCTTCCTAGTAAAGATGGTGAGTTCTCAAAATAAGGAATGCAATATACAGAGTCAGAAACCAGGGCTATATCTACTGGCTTTAACTGTCTTTTTTTGTTACAAAGAAAGGTTTATGGGAGGCACTGGCTAAGGGAAAATGACTATGGTATGAAAATAGGGCAACAATAAAACTTATGTTTGAAATTAATTATTGTATATCTAGACTTGAAAGAAATTTAAGGTCACGGACTTCCTGTGTAATCTATGATACAACTGATGATAAACCCCTCTTCTGATAGTCTCCACTTCCTAGAGTAGACCCTTTTGAGGTTCCAGGGTGATCAAAAAATTAGATTTGAATATTTCTATTATTTACTTCTCACTTTTTAACAAGGTCTTGCATGCAACGAGAGTTAAGCAAGTTAGAGTCTCTACTCCTCATTCCAGAGCCCTTATATGGGGCTTTCACTTCCAACTGTGCCTTTCTGCCTTCAATTTGTTATCCAACTTCCTAGAATACAGATGCACACTAGCCACCATTACAGCCTGCACTCACACAAGAATCTTCTCACACCATATGGCAACTGAAAAGATATCCAGTATCCCTACCCATATTCCTTCCTGTAATATAACTGGAGGGATATCTTGTTTACTTAAAAGTTCTCATTCAAATGTATATTCTTATTTTTTTATGTCATGAGTTCTATGACCTGGAATATTGGTTTACTCTCTAGTATTTTAAAAACTGCTTGCTAAGACTAACATATATACTTGGTATGGATCTGCTTTTGAGGTTGGAATGTAAACACCTTGAACTTAAGAGATTTTCATCCTTTATATTTGTATCCTCAGCACCTAGCACAGTTGCATGGCACATAGTAGGAACTTAATAAAAGCTTACTGATTGGTTTGAATGTGGGACACAAAGTATTCTCTATTAATGAGGAAAAATTCATTTGGTTACTCTGAAATGAACTCTATTCTATTTTCTAAATGTCCCATACTTTTCACTCAATCCTATCCTGAAACTGAAGGTATGGATTGCTTTTCACTATTATAAAAAAGAAATTAAAAAGTACTTGGAAACCCCAATCTTAGATTGGATAGTCTGTAGGAAGCAGATATTTTTGGGTGCAAATGCCAAATTCTGACCCAGAGCTTTTTTCTCCAAACATAAAGAACTTTTACTTAATAGTTATTTTTAAACATTAAAGGACATTATAAAAAATTTCTT